GATCTACTTGGGGTTTCAAGACTGAAATTGTTGTAGGTGTTGATGTTGGTTGATAGACAGACGAATGCATTGACAGTTTGACGGCAGGAGATATTCCTTCTCGTTCTAAGTCAGACCCATTCGCATCACTTTCTGGTCAAGTTCAGAGAGAGTAGAAAATCACCTCACAGAATGTCTGTAACAACGTATCACTGCTATTGTATGCCAATGTTAGACTGAACGTCCAACAAGTCCTTAGACCGACTGCACCCACATCGGCAATACTTTTATAACTTCTAGTGCGTCGTTCTTCGTGCGCACCAATCCATAACTCGTTGGTTCAAATAACTTTCAACCCCGCTCTTTACAAGCATTTAGCATTTTTTTCCTTCTTTTCATTAGTTTCCGCTCCAACTACGACTTAATATAATCGACAATAAATTTTCCATTTCAGCGAATTCTTGCAATTGACACCTTCAATTTTCCTACAGAACAAAGCAAAATAAAAGCAGCCAATGTTGCAGCATAGTTTACCGCTATATAATTCTAGCTGTCCAACCAAGTCCGTTATTCGATACTGCATTTTCAGTAAAAGCAATCACAGCTACTGGCGCTCTGAAAAAGAATTGAGGTAGACGCGACAGTCACTGGGTCCCACCGCCACACAATCGCGAAGCAAAGCAGCGTAGCTTGACAAGGCTTGCAACTCGCGAGACGTGCACGCCCTTCGGCTGTGGATTGCCCGAACTTGTCAGCCGAGTGCGGGCAAGGCAGCCTCGCGTGCAACCAACGAGCTCAGCCAGCCAAACACACTTCCACAGACTAATTCCAAATGTGGCTGAAGGCGTTCGAGTAGCGCCAAAGCGACGCAGTAACACCCAGTCCGCCCATACACCAAGCCACAGCTCAGCTATTGGGTAATGCAAATGTGAAAAGTAGCAAAGAAAAACTCACAATTCGCTCTATTTTTCACCCACCTCCTCAGTGGTGGCGCGTGCCAAAATTGCGGTGTGCTTCAATGTCATGGCTCCATGTTGTTGTACATTACATTCAAAATTAATTGAAATCGATTGCCTTAAATTGTAAATTTAACGCATGCAGCAATGCCGAGCGGAGCTCTGGCGGTCAGCGGCGTCAGTGTTTTTTATTTCGTTTCCATCTTCGCTTGTACACTCCTGTTCTAAAATGAATTTATAATAACCACAGCTCAACAAGTCACAGTCTGGTGGCTCTGTGATGATGGATGGTGTCCTAAGCTTATTAAGCACGGATAGAGTACCCACAGCCTACTGGCTGAACGCAAAATGTTTACCTAGTTGACGGTGTGTGGCTCTCTTGGGCTGTGGGATTTGACTAAGACGCGAAGGCTAAGAGATGCCGGTGTCTCGTTACAAATACTAGCTTACCCATTACGCCCCATTTAATTTGCAACGTACAACTAACCCAAGAGGATAACCCACTCAGTGAGCCTTGCTTGTATTTGCGGTGTTTTGTGCGTTGTCGCCGTCTTCACCTCGTCTTCGCGCACTGAAAGCTGTCATGTTAGCTTAATTTAAATGTCATTATCTCCATGATTAGTGACGCGTAAATAATTTTGACGTAAATTTGGTGCGACGGATTCTGTGCTATTTGCAGCATTACAGCAGTGCGAAGTGGCGACAGTACTTGCCTACGGACAACTGTAGGGATGGCAGTAAAGAATTCGGGCAAATCAGCAGTAGGGTATCATGCACATTTGATTTTGATGCGCAAGTGGCTTGGTTTTTTGTTTTATGTAACCCCACTTCTTGGCATGTACCTGACCGTCTCAACTTACATATTAACCAATAGTGAAATAAAAAGATCCTGTTTTATTCATTTAACAAAAGTTTGAACTTTTGCCCGCTCCAGTCTCTTACAACTAATTAGACAATTGGTTCTGCATATTAAAAAATAATATTCCTTTGTTCTCTTCTCTGCAAAAAGTTCATATGCTAATACTGCTAATTAAAATTCCGAAAACCGCCTGTGCGGAAAAAGTTATTAGAAAGTAGTGAAAGACAAGCATTTTACAAGCCGACAAAAATATCTTAATACACTTTTGTACTTGAACGATGCTTAGGTAGGAGGAATATCTTCGCCTAAGCACAAAAATAAGTCTCATTCACTTATGTTTGTCTACACTATTTATCTCTGCTTTTGCATGCTTTGGTTAAGAATTACAAAGCTTCATTTTATAGTGAATGAAATTTAATTCAATCAATTAGTTTTAAACTTTACGGCGATTGTGCTCCATATAGGTTCTACTCATACAGTTCTTCTCTTTTCTCACAGAGAGCGCTGCTAAACGCTGTGAGTACGGTAATTACTGAGAGCGTATTTTAACATTTATAATATCATAAATATATTTGGCCATTAAAATGTACGCAACCTCTTTCTTTAATTTCATGAAATGAATAGAATTGTCGTTTGGCCCTCCAATATTAATTAAAACAGGCTCTTAACTCCCGCTTTCAACTTGCCGACTTGTTTTATAAGTAAATCGTTGTCCAAGCTTTAATAAAATCTATCTGTTTCAGCCATATACCCCTTAAAGCTAGCTTAAGATTCTGTTTCTCTTGTTGTAGCGCCTATGTAACTGCGCTCAGGTGCAGGCAAAGCTAGACGATGTCGTCGAGGTCATCTCCGGATTCAGACCATTGTCATTTTTCACCTTCTCTTCCGCATTGAGTTTCCACCTCAGTCTGCTATCAAAGGTTCCTCCTATACGAGTATATATGCTTGTACATATAATTATGTACGAATATAATTTCATAAGATTGTTATTTAAAAAAAAATAAAAAAATATTTATATTTGGAATAACTCAATATTCTATGTCATAAAATTTCAGGGAATCATATTAACCAAATGCTGCGGTGTCAATTTCCAGTGAATGGTTATTTTACTCAATTTCCGAAAATTTCGAGTATCTTCATGTTTTGGTATTTAATTTTGCTTTTTTTTTTGCTATTTTTACTAAAAGTTTCATTTTTTTTTAAACTACGAAGAATTTGTTTTCATTAGTGGGGACAAATATTCCTTTTTATTGCAACCGTAAGATCTTCTAATGATTTATACTTACCTGGTCGAAATACCTCTTTTCGAAACTCACATTTTTTATTTTCATGTCTTTTATTTTGATATTATATTTTAATCCAGTTTTACACTTTTTTTATCCTTTTGCACTTTTTGTACATTGTCATAGTGCAAATACAATAGAAAAAATCCGAAACTTCGTATCGATAAATTGCTGCACAGTTTCATACGTGTAAATACAAACTTGTATGCTCATCAATTAATACTTATAGAAAGACATATGTATACATACATACATATATATATATATACTTATGTATACGAATATGGAAGCGCTTAATGAAATACACACAAGTATAGCTACTCATATATATATATATTTGTATGTATTTATATAACATACATATTATATATTCGTTTACTTATACAATACAATATTTATTATGAATTAGTTATAACTAAAAATTTCACATTATCATAATTATGGTTGTTGTTATTATAACTATTATCGTGTATTTACAAGTGTGTAATTGCTTACAATTAAAAATATGCTTATGCCCGAGCCTACTTACGTAAGCACGAAAATTATACTCAAATTGAAAATAATGAGAATCGCAAACAGTTAAAAAAACCAAAAAAAAAAAAAAAATAAAATAAAAAAATAATTTTAAATTTAGTAATTACTTCTTTCAACTAATATGTGCGGCGAGGGCTTTCAGTAAAGTGCAAAAACGTAAGAGTATTTGTTGCTTCTTTTTCTTTTTTTTCGAAAATTTTTCATTTATTTATTTACGTTTCACACCCTTCATTTCTTTCATTACGCTTTGATGAAAATAAAACTAATATTTTTCGCTGGCGCTTTATATTCACAAGAGCAGTGCCTGAAGTGAAAGAAGAAAAGAAACACATATACATATATGTATATATATATTTACCTTCCCAACCAACGTTAAAAATAAGTCAAGCGCCACAGCTGCGTGCCGAGCATATTTAGAAATTGGCAATCAAAATAAAAACGGAAATTGATTTACTCTATATGAATATGCTTTTTTTTTGTTTGAGCTTTGTTTACACTGAAGTTGGCTGAACTGAGCTTACGCAATGATAAACTTTCACTGCTCGGGCTTGCACGAGGAGCGGCAGGTAAGGTGGAGTGCAAGGCATTGAATAATTTGTAAGCCCTTCCCGTGCAGGTCTAAGTAGTTGGTGGTCTAGCTAGGAAATGCCAGAATTTCTGCTTTCGAATCTTAAATAACCCGGGCAAGGCTGCGGTTACAAGGCTGTTTACACCAATTACTCTCAATAGGAATCTCAAGCTCATATTCGGCTGCCTGTTTTGCTCCTCGCCGGAAGATGTGCTGAACCTTATCTCGCACCTCTTCTTCCGTTAGCTGCTTTATACGCAGTATTTCGCTTTCATTACGTTTTAATTCGTTTCTTCGCACTCGAGTTGTTGTTGCTGTCATTAATCGGCCGTCACTAATTGAGCGCTGCGGCGTGCTAATAATCGCGTGTAAATGATGAAATCATTAAGTGAGCTTAATTTAATCTTTATTATAGCATTGTTTACTGCCTTTTTGTTTGTTTTCGTTAAATAACTTCCTTGAATGTAGTTGTTGTGGCGCTAGCGTTCTTTGTCTTATGCAAATATATAATATTATAGTATATAAAGTATATTAAAAATAATTTTAATATTTACTTATTTTTTGTATAAACTTAATTGGTCTTAATTCGCTATGAGTGTTCGGTTTTTGTTATTATTTCGTCGTTAGGTTTCTTTTCTAACCTATAAAATACGTTTTAAGTCTTGGGCCTTGAGCGAGCTTTTTTTATAATTTCGTATTTTGTTCGTTTCATTTTTTAAATGTTACAAACTTAATTATAGTTTCACTTAACTAATTAAATACTAATTAACTTAAGTATTTCATTAAAATTAAGTTAAAATTAATTTTTTTCTTATTTTCGCCTAACAAACTACACTCCCTAGGAGCTGATGTGCACTTGGATTTCTTATAACTAAAAACTGTTTGCGTTTGTAAAGTGTATCGTCGTCTAACAACGCTCTGAAAACTCTCAAAAAATTCTGACTTTTGCACCTAAAACTGTGCTCCAACTTGGCCCAAGGTGTATAGGAAGTTTTTGAAAACTTCCTAGTTTTCTTAGAGCTTTAAAAGTGTAGCTCTCGCAGCAAAGCTGGTTAGGCGTAGAAGCACGTAGAGCAGTGACACTTTAAGCTTTGTGAGCTTCATTAGAATAGGAATATTAATGCTAGATTTTTATTTTAATCTAAAAACTAAAATTAATCTCTTGCTGTTTCATAACTTAGCTTAGCATTTCCTTTTATTGCATTTCAGTTATACTTTTGTTTATACTTTGAGTTGCTCAGTGCTCGGCTGTACGACGAGTGCGCTCGGCTGTTGCTGTTTGTTGTACCACCAGCCTGCCGACCCTATTTTCAACTGCTTCAATTCTTCTCTTTTATCAAGCATTTGCCTAAAGAAAAGAACTCCACCGATGCGTCCTTAATACATCATTCCGGGATGCACCGCTCCTCCACGTTGAAAGTAGACGTTTGGATTGCTGCTTAATGTTGGTTCCAACGTCGTGTAAAGATTGGTCTCATCGGGTCGTATAAATAGACCTGGCGATTGTAGGTAAGAAAAAGGGAAAGAATTATTATTCCATGCTTATCTTTACGACTTCTTTGTCATTTATAAGTGAAATAATAAGAAAAAGCGGGAAATATGCGTTCGTCGAATAACCATAGAATCAGAAGATTAAGTTTGTTAGATAGATAAGTTTTTTTAGTAGACAAAATGCTTAAGATCATCTTTCGATTTTTTCAGAGTTAAAGTCCAAGTCTTATTTTTAAATAACTGTCATTTTAAGGACCTATTCTGAATACTCACATATAGCACATCATTAAGGGCTACACCTAAACTTATACTTCCCCTATGCAAAATTGCTTCTGTGTTATAATTTTCGGAGCGTTAAGCCGCCACCATAGTGAGCTCATAAAATATAGTAACTTTTTTCAAAATAAGACGGTTTAATGAAGAAAGTTCTGTTGTAACTACTTAGGTAACTAGTTAATAAAGCATTCAATACAAACCTTACCTGGATACCGGAGTGTCTGTGCGATATGTGCTTGTGTCATTGACGACAATGAATTGCCCAATTGTTTGAGGGTCGGTGGTGAGGGCAATTGTGTCAGCGTTGGCGGTGGTATTGGTGGCGGTGGTGGTGGTGGTGGGGGTTGTGGATAAAAACAAAACGGGTGCGCTGATAAATGTGCTGGAAAATAGTGATACATACGTGTATAGCTCGGTGGTGCAGCGGTGACCAAAGCAACGCGATCTGTTGCGAAGCCATGGATTTATTTTCGTTTTCAAAATATTCAACATTTTAATTATTTTGTTGTTGTTTTTTTTTTTTTTTTTGAACACCAAACCAGTCGCGATCATGATTCGTTGTTGTTGGTTTATATATATTTTTGACAATCACCCGGGCGAATAAATGTAAAATCCAAAGGTTTAACACCGACACAACAAACACCATTGTTTTGTTTTTGTAATTATGTATTCGTTTAAAATATTTTATTGAAATTATTAATTTATTTAATAAAATGTTTTTAATTTCACACATATTTTATAGGTAGGCGCGACCAATTAACCAAAGCATATTGAGGTGCGGTAAAACATATGAAAATATAAATAAACACACACAAACATAAATATGTATATACAAATTGATTTATAAATTGAATAATTGATTGATAGTTTATTGGAGATGATTTTATGAGGATGGGAGTTTGAAATGAATATTTTATCAAATTTTTTCATGTTTCGAATAAACCAACACAAATAAATGTTAGAAAAAATTAAAAAAAAATTTCAAAAAATATCAAAGAGCAAACAGTTAAGTGCAGCGAAACAAAATTAAAATAATAATAATAATAATAAATAAAAAATTAAAAATAAAAATAAGAACAAAAAATAATAAAAAAAAAACAAAAAAAAATAAAATTAAAGTGTTAAAAATAAAATAAAATTAAATTAAATTTAATAAAAAATGAAATAATAGAAATTAATAAACACAATACAAAATAAAATGGAAAATAAAAAAAAAATAAGTAAAATAAAAAAAAAATAAAAATTTATTTTAATTTATTTTTTTTTCGTAGTTGATTAATGATATGATTGAGCATTCGTTATGTACATTATCGCAACCATTGATTTTGATTTTATACAAATTTTGTTTACATAATTTTTTAATTAATTTTTTAATGAGTTTCCGCAGTGAATTTTTTACAGCCATTGACATATGTCGAATTAATTACGGGTAACATAATTTATTGTATTGTAGTTATTGTTATTGTTGTTGTCGATGTGGTGCACATGAAACCAATGAGCAGTGAATGGTGGTGATTGGATTTGTTTGGTGATGGTGATGATGTTGGCAATAATGATGGATTTTTTTTTGGTTTTTTATGAAATAATGGTAAATATGAAATAAAATAATAGTAAATGATGAATAACGAATGTGCGAATGGAGTAATAGATACATGTAAATAATATGAAATAAAATGTTTCAAATATTCCACTTAGGTCTAGGCAGATTCATCACAGCAGTTGGTTATACGCATTTCTTTGTTATTGGATTGAGTGGCTGGTAGAAATAAGGAAAATCTTCTTGTTTTATTGACAAAGTTTTTTTTTTTCAATAAATTTATACTCAGCATAAATCCTTTAATACATGGAGTGGGATGAAATAAAGCTTTAACAATTCAAAAGGTGTGGAATTTTCGTGGCTTATCTTTACATATATTAATGGTTACTTATTAATAGATCAAATGTGTGCTTGAAACACCTTTAATCCTCTTATTGCAATAATGGGAGTTTTAATTAAGCAATTAGTCAGTAACAATCATTAGTCAGCATTAAACTACTGGCGCCACAGAAAAAACCTTTATGAAAATCTCTCTAGTTCAGAAAGATTTAATGAATTGTTTATGATGGGGAAATATAAAAAAAAATTTAAAAAAATTTAATAAAAGTTTAAAGAAAAAAAGAAAATTAAGGGAAGAAATACGTACAGTCTCTCATACAAAATCACTTCCCCATCGCCCCTGTAGCTGAACTAATTAGCTAATAGAATTTTAACACTTTTACCTAAATATTTCCATTTGACTTTGTCAGTCGATCCATTAATCTTCATCAAACTCTCTTTTCGATTAGTAAGTGGAAAAATACCTCAAACATTTTTTTTGTACTGAAACCTATTTATGCCTTTGCCTGCGAGCCAATTGTCTTCTGCTTTCATTTGACCAATCTCGTTAACACTTTCCACCGCTGGCATAAAAACCAATTGAAATAATTGCTTTCGAGAATAAACAAATAAACAAATAAATAACTAATTGATCTACATGTTTATACGAAGAACAAAAGACGGCTAATGTGTTAGTATGTCTACGTAGAATTGTACCTACTGCACCATTAACCCAATTTACTTACACCGCACTCAGCTTACAGCCTCAGCACTCAGCGATTTGTATTTTTTAAATATATTTTAATTACAGTAACTAAGAGAAGAGTATGGGCTTTCTTCAGCTGCGAGGCGCATTACAAAGATTTCTTAATCTTTGAGTATAGAAAATGGACTCTGAAAGACTAGCGTGAAGTCTACTAGTATAGCTGCTGCGCTGAGATATCTGCTTTTCTCTAAGTGATTGCTGACTGCGCAAGCTATTAAGTGGTCGTTAAGTTAAAACGCTTAGTTAAATGAAATTATACTCTTGTATTAACCTTAAGCGCGGCCTTAGCTGCATAAAACTACTCCACGAGTAATAAATGTTGGGCACAAAGCAAAAATAAAAGACTTAAGCAACGAAATTTTGGAAAAATTGGTTGTAATACCTGAATTGAAGAAAACCGTTACATTTTTCAACGAGTGGTAAATTTTCTTTACAATATTCTAGGTTTCGATTTTTCGGCTTAATTTATTTCATCATTTAATGTAAAAAAAAAAAAACTTTTGTAATGAAAAAGTTTATTGAAAATTTCAAGCCAGATATATCAACCGAAACTAAAATTGTTTATTTGTGAAAAATTTTCAAGAACACCTGTAGTGTTCGCTGTTTGGCTGGGGAAAAATTCAAAATGTTTGTGGCCGGTATGGGAATTGATGCGCAGCGAGTTAAGGACTACATTAAGACCGTTGTTATGTCATCCCGAGACCCGATTTTGCAAGTAACAAACCAAAAATAATAGTATACATTAAAATTAACCTTGGATCCCACTTAAGTCATCGAAACACATTGTTTTGTTGGTTTTAAGGCAAATGTGGTTTTAATTTCCCAACAAAAGAAATTATAAAAAAATTACGCATAACCTCAACACCTTGGAGCACACAATAAACGCTTGTATAATTGCTTATGAGCGACTAATGTGTTGCGTTCAAAGTTATAGGCGACAATTGCCAAATTGGGTTCCAGCAGTGCACATTACATACATAAATACATAAATATATAATTGCTCACATTTGGCATTGTGTGGGCAACAACGACACACAGATATCATTGGCAATACAGTGAGTGAGAGCAAAGTGCCAGGGGCTGCAAAGGCAAAGACAGACACAGCCAAAGCCACAGCTACAGCCACAGCTACAGCCACGGCGACAGCGACAGATGAGTGAAATTTTATAATTTATGTATTAAATTGTGTTAATGGCACATTCATTGGCCCCTCTAATGAGATTATGCATACAGAGATAAATGCGTACATACGAGTATGTATCTACTCACTTAGAAAAAGCCTAACGGAAAAAGCGTGCAACATCAATTTGATATCCAAATGCGCTTGCGGCTGAGTGCTAGCAAACTTGTGTCTGATGAGTAGCTCAAGTTTACAAACACAGCGCCGAGTTGACACATAATTTCATTTTGCAGAGGTTGGCATCATATTTGTCATGGAAATAAAACTTATTTAAATATTTATTTGAATTTATTTTATTTTTATATTTTTTAATTATTTTTTAATTTAATTTAGTTTAGTATTTATTTTTTTATTGCCTTAATTTAATTTATATTTATGATATTAAATTTTTTTACTCTAATTTAATTCAATTTATTTTCTGTTTTATTTTATGTTACTTTGTTATGTTATTTTTTTATTTATTGATTTTTTTTGATTTGTTTAATTTTATTTTATATAAATATTTTATATTATACATTTTTAACCCAATATTATAGTTTTTGATACAAACAGCGGCACCTCAATAAGTGCACATACATACATATGTATGTGTGTGAATATGTGCTGCCTGCCTCCGCTAGCTTAACGGAATGACTACCCACCAGATAACTTAAAACGCAATTAAGCACGGTTTTCTCTAGACATTTTCCACTCAACATACATACGTACTCGTATGTATTTATATAAGTATTTATGTGCATATGTGTATGTATCACTTTACAACAACCTCTCAGCCTAACTGAAAATATTCTCTTGTAATCTTCGCTTTCCATTGCTCATTTTCCTTCGGCATTGGTTCTTTTTGCGCTTAACCAACTTAAGCTGGAGCTCAGGCGGTTGGATGGTGGCTTGCGGCTGCGAGTTGCTTGAGCAGGCGAATGTGGAATTATGTGTCAGAAAATGAAAATCCAACTCCGCCGTCGTCGGCCTCCTGACCGTGCGACATACATAGAGTTAATGTACTTTTTCATATACATATGTAAATGTATATACTATATATTGTACATACATATGCACATATATTTATGTGAATATAACCATGTGTTTGTGAACTAGTTTCGAGCACTCAATGCTCAATGTTGCACACTGTGGCTTTAGCTTTTGCCAACTTTTCTTTTGATTGGTTTTTCTTTGCTTTCATTTATTTATTTTACCAATTTGTATTCGCTGTTGTTGTTGTGGCGCATATGCCACAACATATCGTTAGCGATTTGACGTCATGCGTTCGTTATGTCAGTGCGGAAAACCAGATTTACTTATTTCATAAATGTACATATATATGTATGTACAATACATACATATTATATACACGTATAGAGACAAATGTTCATAAATGATTTTTGTGGGTCAAAAATGCTTGAATTCGCTGCGGAATTTCGAATGTCGGCACAATGCAAGCACATACGGGTGTGAGTGTGAGTTTGTTTTTGAATTCAATGACATAATGAAAGACTAGGCGAGCAACAAACTTGTCGCATGCGCAATAACGCACCCAACTGCGGAGGATCAGCAACGGAAAAGTGAAAAAATATGAGCATAAAGAATAATGTTACAACGGAAATGATAAAAGCTATTAGTTAAACTCTTCAAAAGAAAGTTTTTTCAAGACAATTATTGAGAATTGTTATAATATCAGGGATTGTAGTTGTGTTCCTTGTCATCAGCCATTCAGTCGGAATAAAGCCCCATTCAATCAATCAATCAAACATCTGTGACCCTTAGGTCTGATTAAAGTAATATGAATTCCTATCCACTTATCTCTCTACCTAACCTGTCCACGCCACTGTGGTGCTGCTCAAGGGGTGAGACTCACAAAACTTACTCTATAATGACTTCTTTAGTTAATATCATATGCCTCCGTGGTGCGTTTTTTAGGTCGCTGATTTGACCCAACGCGCCTCAGCTTTTGCTTCAAACTAATTCATTTATGCTCTTTCATTTTCTACTTAGCGGGGGGGGGGGTAATGGAACTGCAACTCTGACTCTATGATAATATATTTTCCTACAAATGTCGATCACTAAAATAGTAGTTTACAACTAGACTAGTCCGGTTCACTTTGCGGGGTCCGCATTGTTTTGTATCTGTTTGTCTGTCTGTTTTTTGGTTTCCAGCCTCCCTTTTTATCTCCCTTTCTCTCTCGCTCTCTCCCTATCACTGGTCAACGCTGCAATGTGCACGTGTAATTGTAACTGTCGGTGGAGCAGTTGTCGCTGTCTGCAAAACGTCAACAATGACAACTAACAGCGCAACAACAATAACAGTTACAGCAACTACGACCAACCAATCGAGGAGAACAGCAACAGCATGACATAAAACATTTTCACGGAAAATGAAGTGAAAAACTCCAATCAAATGGAAAAGGGTAAGAGAAGAAGAAGCGACAAGAGGGGTTAAAATAATAGATGAAAATAGGAAACAACGCCAGCAATCATTAAAAAGTATGTAACCAATCAGATAGAACATCAAAGTCAAAGTCACTCGGACAGGTTGACCGACGTCCGACCGACCAAATGAACAAGCGAACTGAAGCCAAAGCGAGGCACTGAAAGCTGATGGCTCTTTTTTCGTATTTGCCGATGTTGAGGCTACGCTGCCTGTCTGTCGTCCGGCCGTTCTCAGACTGCTTGTCTTCCTCAGGCAAAAACACTGCAATTTTCGACTATTTTGACGCAGCCGAGTGGGAGTTTGACAGCGGAGCAGCGGCACTTGAGCGAGTGAATGGTTGAAATTAACAGCCAAACAAAGAGTTACAGCAAATTCACAGTGCAATTTGCATAATCTATTACTGTTGAGAATAAAACAATAAGCAAGCAACAACAATTACAACGACAACGATAAAAACAACGGCAATGAAAAGGCAAAAGACAAACAATATTGAAAATGGGTTTGAAGAGTGGCAAGTGGAAAATCGTCGCCGCTGCTGGTTCCGCAAATAATTCAAAGCGGAATTTTATAGCAACAAAAACAGCAAAATAAAACGGACAATGTAAGATGAGGAGGAGTTTACGAATTGAAGGTTGTAACGTACCCGGTTCTCCGGTTTATAGCTGGGCTATCTCTCAGCCGGATTATGGGTCTCTCCTATAATCTCGAATTTTAAAGGACAACACGGATGGTTCTACCTTACACAATTAGTTTTATTTTCAAATGTTCTACTGGCAGCGTTTTCACGTCACACCATATATCTTAAACTGTATCGTACTGGCAGCGTTTTCACGTCACACCATATATCTTAAACTGTATCGTACTGGCAGCGTTTTCACGTCAGCCGTATATCTCTATTGGCAGCGTTTTCACGNTCTTGTGTCCGAACGCCTCTTCGTCCGCATGACCAGCAAAACAGTTGGATGGCGTTCTGACACTCATAGGCGTAGTGTCCATGTTCCCCACATCTTCTACACGCCGTTCGTGGATTCGCTCGGCTAGACTCCTCGTCTCTAGGCTGCCGGTTCACCTGGTGTGGTCGTGGAGTAAACGCCTCTCTTGTCGGCGCATGCCGACGCTCTTCGTAGTGCCTTTCTGCCAACGTATATCTCTCCCTACGTGGCTCTTCTCATATAGCATAGTAATGCTCTTCATTTCTCGTGGGTGGCATTATCTTAACTGCTGCCCTAGATGGATCTCTCTCTCTCATGATATTTTCGAAGTCTTCGGCCAGACTTACTAGTTCGGTTAGGATCCCGAACTCACTCTCTTTTATGTATAGTTGGTAGTCACTCCTACAATTTCGATATATGCGCTGGAGTTTTTGTGTTGGCGTGTACTCTGAATGCTTCATTAGCCCTTGGAGTGCGAGTACATAATCTTTAAAGTTTTCCTTGGGTCGTTGCACACGTTGCCTGATTTCGTCATCTAGTCGTTCAAAATAACGAGAGTTCAGGAAGAACTTCAAGAAATCTCGTTTGAATGTCTCCCAACTTTGCCATTGGCCGTGGTTATTACGGAGCCAGACTAAGGCTCGGTCCTTGAGCAGCTCCGGTAACGCTCTCGGGAGCGCGTTTAATTCTATTTCGTAGCCGTGTGCTAGTTCTTCCACGCGTTCGATGAAGCCCAGTGGGTCTTTGCCGCCGTCGTATTTCACACCCCACTTGCGAACGCGGTCCATCACTGATTGGTTGGACAATTGTGGGTAGACGTGGGTATATGTCTTGGTCATACGGGGAGACATTCCCGTCCCGCCGTCGTTGCTAGGTCGCTGTGACTGTGGCAACTGTAGTGACTCTTTTTGCCTCGGTGTAGGCGAGTTTGTTATCGTAGATAATTTCGCGTGTCTCAACGATAAGTCTGTGACCCGATCACGCAGACCTTTGCTCTCGCCCTCCTCCTACAGAAATGTCTCGAGGCGTTTTCTTAACTCCTCTTTGTTGAGGTAGTACACCCAGTTTACTTTAACCATTTTATATGTATCTTTTTTTTTTTCTTTTTTTTCAGCAAATGTTATTGTGCCTCGCACTTGTGTCTCTATCACTTTGTTTTATTTAATATATATCTATTGTGTGTCACTCTCACTCGTATTCGTACGCACTCGTGTTTTATCCTCACTTCACTTTCACTTTTGGTTCCTTATTATTTGGCCCTTAGTTTCCTCAATATTATAAGGGCCCCACGTTGGGCGCCAGTTGTAACGTACCCGGTTCTTCGGTTTATAGCTGGGCTATCTCTCAGCCGGATTATGGGTCTCTCCTATAATCTCGATTTTAAAAGTGTAGGAAAAGGACAACACGAATGGTTCTACCTTACACAATTAGCTTTATTTTCAAATGTTCTACTGGCAGCGTTTTCACGACACACTATATATATCTCTATTGGCAGCGTTTTCACGTCACACCATATACTTCTATCTACTCCTATTGGCAGCGTTTGCACGTCACACCATATATTCTACCTACGACAGCACAAACAGAAGTGTCCTATCACTGCTGATGCTGCTCCTTTTATACCAAATTTTCCTACAGGTGGACAGTTATGCACTGCCTTTTGTTGGTAGGCCTATCGCCTGTTCTCCTTTGCATTACTTAACAGCGACGGCTCGCTACGCTAGTGCCTAGCTTAAATGTTTAGTACAATACTTATTTATATCATGTACATCTATGTATATATATATGTGTATATGTATGTTTCGATATGTAGGTATATATATATATATATATACAATATATGTTATTATTTCTATGCGTTGCGTATATATGCATTTCATGTTATATGTATATATATGTTGTAACTTCTCTGTTGTTGTTGTTGTTGTTGTTGTTGTTGTTGTTGCTGTGGAGGCTCCAAGGCCTTAGACTTGGGGTCTTCACAAGGTTTGATTTAACTTTTTATTTTTTGCTTTTTTTTTTAATGGCATTGCAATTATTTTGTTATTCCAAATGTTCAATGGGTGAGGATGATGATGAAACTCGGAAAAACAACAAAATACTCACTATTGCGGGCAACTTAGTCATTGGGAAGTGCTTTTGTTTAAGACGACGCAACCATCATAGTTATTTCATATGCCGCTTGTAGAACGGACCATAAGGTGACCTCGGCTTGAGCGGTTTAACTTGAAAATCCGAATTTTCACCATTCAATTTGGTTCTAAAAATTTGACACCACCTCAACTCTTACTCAGACAAGAGAACGAAATTTTTTCATTTCTCAAGTTTGCTTTGTTTTTTGCTGATTTCTAAACAATTTTTGAGTAAGCGAGGTTACAACCACCCTCTCCAACCAGAACTTGACCGTCGGCAATCGTCGCTGTATTTTTCTTGCTTTTGCTCTCTTCTTCAAGTGTTTTAGCTCTAAATTTTTCGTGCCAGCCGAAACTATCAACGCTGCAGCATCAGCAACTCAACTAATTGGCCACGCTTTGAGGTCGTTGTTGCCAACGGAGACAGAGTCAACGCCTTACAATCAGGATGCAACAAGCAAAGTCTAGTTGTGGACAAAGTCAATTTTTTGTTTGCTTCAGAGCATTTTTTTCTAACAAAGTAATTCGCAACAGCTAAAAAGCACAAGCAAATAATGTCATTTACCTACAAAAAAGGGGATCTGTGGCCGCTACGTTGAATTTAAGTGAACGTGACTGAATTTGAAAATTATTTAATTTAATTTTTTTACTCGATTTGAATTTTGTGCTCTTAATTTTTTAGTTTTACTTTTGCTATGGTTCAATTCGTTGTCCTGTTGGCGCAGCAAGCCAGTAAGAACTCACTTATTACATGATTTTCTTCCATATATGGACATGTTCCACGAAGCAGAGCTTCACACCAGTCCAGAATTATGTCAATTCGTATAGAGCTCACTTGAGTATGGTTTTACAATCAGTTTAGATTTAAGTTTGGCCAACTTTGAAATCGTAATCATTTCCATATCAGTTTCGGCCCAATTCTTTAATAGAGACTTTTCACGATCATTTAGCAGATCGTTCCGCACTTTTCATAAAACATTCCAGATCAGCTCTGGTATTGGATAAACATTTCTGAACTCATTCTAAGCTGAAGCCAGTCAATTTTGGAACACTTTCAGAGTTAATTATCAACTCAGGAAATGTTTAAATTTATGTCAAGTACGCCTTAAAACACGCTCAGAAACACCTCTTGACTAATTTTTATCCTTTTCTGATTAATTCCAGTTTCCTAGTTTGTTTCTGAGTCTGTAATTCAGCTTCATAAATATTTTAGGATCAGGTGGGAGTCAGTGTCTCAACATGAGTTTCGAGCTATTTTAGCATCATTATGAAAGTGGTTCGAAATCACATCGCGATATCTTATAGACATTTTCTAACCGCTAAAGCGATTTTCAGCCAACAAACGGAGGAACAACAGCCGATGAATTTTATCATGACTGTCGGACCAGGACTCAAATTCCGAATATCAGTGCGAATGGTAACCACACGGAAATTGCGGATGCCTAATGTAGTAAAGGTTAAATACGGATCGTAGATTAATGTAATTGATGAATTTCGGTACCCTTTCAAGATCATTTGTAGATCGTTTGAGGTCATTTTGGGTCCGATTTAAGAGTAGTTCATTTTGATCGCATTTTCAAATTATAAACTTCACCTAACAACTATTTTTTATCAACAATTTTGTGGCATTATTTATGTAGACTCGCTTATGATTTGAATAATCTCATTAACCTTCAAAGTTGTGTTGTTTTATTTTCGGATAAATATACATACTTAAGTGCAACTTTTCGACAAGTCTCGCTCTTGAAAATTCAAACCGAAATTTGTATACAACGAATTCCACTGAAAAAGCAACACAAAGAGGCCAAATCAGCAAGCTGCTCACAGATGTTTTTTTTTTTTTGGTAATTACTTGGGGTAATAAAAACTACGAAAGAGCTGAAAAACCAAAAAAAAAAAATCCGGTTTGGACCAATTACTGTTGTGCTGTACTATTGGAAAATATTTCAACCATAAACACCCAATATGACCTAATCAAAATGACACACCAGAAAACAGCTGGCCCTTAAAGTGGTGTGGCAAGCGGACAAGTACATTTGTCACTTAAAAAGCGCAAACAATTAATACGGATTCGCTGTGAAAAAGACTTCTTTGCTTCAAAAAAAGGGTTTTTTATCATTTTAAGTATTTCTTATTGGGTAAACACCATCACAAATACCCTTAACTAAAAAGAAAAAAGAACAACAAAAATAATGATTAAAAATAAAAACAACCCGCTTTTATCGACCTTTTTAAGATAAAGCGATGACGTGGTAGATGCGGTGAGCTCTGAGCTCTGAGCTCTGAGCGCCGTCAAGCCGAAGGAGTGGTGCTGGCGAAGCGTGTGGTAACGTGCGACATATCTCGGCTCTCGGTCTCACGTTACACGAGAATGGCATGACAAAGTCGATTTTCCCTTTTTTCTGTTGGACTTTTAAAGAAATATCATACTGTCATTGTTGTTGTTGCCGTTGGCTCATTTGCTTGACTTTGTGACGGTCAGTGATGGTAACAAAAGCATTGCATACACATAAGTGTGTATGTATGTGTGCACTTAACTGGAGTTCATTGTCAAGGACAATTGTATTTACTTATTTTTATTTTACTTTCTTTGTTTGCCTTTGAAATTCCTTAATTTTGATATTAGTTATTTTCTTGCCGACTCATTGTTGATATATTTTGGTTTCGCTGTTGGCTGGCGACTTAATTAGCATTGTCATCGTCACTTTGATGCTTGTTATTAATTCATATGGAGGTGACGTTAATTAATCATTTACTCGGGGGATCAGATTTCCACTCTGCAAACTCAATTATCACGGCTAATTTCGACAAGGAGCTAAGGTACCAACTTCGGAAGGCCCTTAATGCTGGATGAGTCGTTAAAGGTCGGGCATGTAAACTTTAGATTTATTAATGAGGTTTTATAAGTCCAAGATTGGAGAACGAACAATCTATTGAAGCCTCTTAATAACTAGTTTTGGAAACTCAGGGTACACAAAATTCTCAAAAAAAAAAAAAACCGGAACTCTCGAGATTCCGAAGAAATAATATTGTTGTGAGAGACAAAGCAAATCGGATTAAGTCTCAAAGTATTCAGGCTTCCACTTCTTCTACATATAAAGCATTTCAGGTGCCAGTAACTGCAAGCATATCTTTCGAACCTTCATCGTAGCCTAAAAGTTGAACCGCAAATTTGATGAGTTAAATGAGAGAATCTAAAATTTTGGTATGTGGTTTCGAAGGGTTATTCGGAGTAGGCTTTGGTCTTCACCATTTCATTTTATCCTCCATAAGAGTAGCTCAAAGTCAATTCTTCATTTTTGTTTGCATGTAGTCACGGTTAAAAATCAATGGTAATTATCTAAAAAGTAAAATAAAGAGCAAATTAACCCAGTTGTTCATCGATAAGCGGCGCGGCGGCTTGTTGTTCATCGAATAAATGGGTGGCCAATTTCGAGTAAATAAAATTTCTCCAGCCAACGATGCGCAACGGTGCCAAGAGCAGCGACGCGCCGACTAACCAACCCATCATCATTCATTTCAGCGCGCTTGCAGACTTGTACTGGACCGGCGGCGTTGATCTGTCTGTTCGCTGGCATTTGCATTCGATCGATCAGCAGCTGAGCAACAGTCTCAATGAACGCCGCGAATACTCAGTGGAGAAGGAGAAGAAGAAGCAGAAGCAGACAGAGTCAGTTATTCGCGGCGTTTGGCATTGTAACTTCGGCCGATTTCGATCCATTTTAACAACTTTATTGGCAAACACGCGAGCTATGCTTCAATTCACTGGCGCTCGCTCGCTATTTGGCATTGTTGTTGGTTATTTTCTAAATAAAATAGAAATTATCGCAGCGCATATCGACACCAAAGCGAAATAGTAGTAAAAATGTAGTAAAAGAAGTAAGTAGTAGTAAATTAAAAAGTTGGTTAAGCACAGTAAATGACGGCCAGCGAATGAATTGCGAGAAAAGGAGGAGATGGCGAATAGACAGAAGGAGTGGACGGTAGCAATTATTCAATGATTTTTATCGAAAAATCAAACTATGAACAATAAAAATCAGTTGTTGTTGCTAAAGTATTTGTCTGCTTTTCTGCTATCGTTGCATGTATTATAACGGTAATTTGAGTACATAAATTTTAGTGTAACAACATACAATACTTAATAAATGTTGCTGATATGATTTCTGATAGGCTCCTAT